CACTAATCATCTTTAATATCAGACAAGCCAATAATATATCTATATTACCCAATGAGCCTGTGTTCTCTTCATCATCACATAAAAATACCGTGGTTAAAATGTCACCAAAAGTTACCAACTAACTTTTTAAATTATGTTGTTTCACTCAACAGCAGCAGGATATTTGTTGATGTCGGATATTTTTTTTTCCTAGCAATTTAAAATCTGCAGCTGTGAAGCCTGTCTTAGAAATATCTAGATGCAACTTTATTGAGTAATTACAGACTCATTTCAAATTTACCTTTTGTTTGAAAATTACAGAAAATCTTCAAGCAACTTACTGGCTTTCTGTCGTTAAATAGCTGTCTAGAAAAATTCCAGTCAGGTTTTTGGCCTAATCATCATACTGAAAAAGCTCTAATTAAAGTTATTAATGACACTTGTTTAAATACAGATTCAGAATCTGGCTTAATCTCAGGGCTGCCTTTGATACCACTGACAATAAAAATCTCATAGACTTGAAATCTGGTTTGGTCTTGCAGGAACTGTCCTAAAATGGCTAAGCTCTTACATGCAAGGAAGTGTTTACTTTGTGGAAATTTAAAATTATGTTTGAGAGAGTGCCAGTTGGCACCCAGGGTTAAATTTTGAAGCCACGTTTATTTGATTTATACATGCTCTGTCTTGGACAAATCCTACAAGACTATGGGATATCTCACTCAGATCTACTTGGCCCTCTTCCCAAACAAGGCCCCCTGGACTCACTTTGTAAGTGCCTTGAGCTCATCACTAACAGGATGGGACAAACCTTCTGCAGTTAAATAAGCATAAAGAACCACTCTTCTGAGAACATCACCAGGCAGGCCCTCAAGCTGGACAACAAGTTACATGAGCACGTTAGGGAGTCAGAGGCCGCACAGTTTCCTCCCTGGTACAGGGTGTCATCCTTGATTGCTACAGGTCCCCTCAGTGCTATATTCCTCCTGAGGAGACCAAGCAGCCCATGCCATTAAGTCATATGTGCTTGTCCCGGCAGGAGCTTTTCCCATAATGTTATGGAAAGATCAGAGCCCATTCCAAAGAGAGAGACCTGTAATGGGCACAGAATATTATTTCTCAACACTAGCATCTCTTGGGGCAAAAGAAACACATCTAAGCCTTTACTACACTGGGGCTGCAGGCAATTTCATTGATCACCTTGGCCAAGGCCCTGAATCTGCCTGTGGACACACTTGAGTACCCCATAACTAGTTCAACCACCAATGGCCAGTTTCTTGGTTCTGGAACATGCTGGGTCAGCATGTTGAACAAATTTCACTGATGCCCTGGCCCTAATCCTAGCCCTGGCCCTAATCCTAACCCTAACCTTAACCAAAGCCTAATCCACTTAAGATACAGTTAATGATATCAGCAGTGTGTCTATAATAGCTTGTTGAAGATATTAAGATAGTTTGTATTAAACCTGTTACATGTTCAGGTTAAATTGCAGATATGTAGTTTATAAGTTGTACTCTCCAAATAAAGTGAAAAATGACTGAATTCAGCAGATGATAAACTAATTTTATTTGCGCAGTTAAGCAAAAGACTTGATAATCTACTATATTCACTGCTACTACATCATTGATATGTTGATGTTACTGAGAGTCTGTTGAGTGTTTATTTAATCTGAAAAGGAGCACTCAAAATAGTCACCTTAAATGTCGTCATTATATTATGATCACAGTACATTTACATTTAAGGCATTTGGCAGACGCTCTTATCCAGAGCGACTTACAATTTGATCATTTTACACAGGTAGGCAAAGGAAAAAGAAAAGAAATTGCTCATAGGACAATAATATAGGTTGACTCTCATAGTATAATAATTTTGTAGGTAGTTTGACCAGAGGAGGATGGGTCCCCCCTAGTGAGCCTTGGTTCCTCCCAAGGTTTCTTCCCCAGCACTGAGGGAGTTTTTCCTTGCCACTGTCGCCACTGCCTTGCTCGCCTGGAGGATTTACATTTCATGTTAAAACTTTGTCCTTAATGGATTTCTGTGAAGCTGCTTTGTGACAACATCAGTTGTAAAAAGCGCTATACAAATAAATTTGACTTGACTTGAATTTGACTTGACAAAACTTGCAAATGAGACCACCCAGCAGTAGCTCATTCTAATGCTTTATCCAAAAGGCATGAGATAACAAAGCCATTTTTGATCAGTACTAGCAGAGAATTACTGAATTACACAGAACACTGTTACAATTCCATTGAAGGTTGGTGTATGACTCACGGCAACTGGATTGTTTGTAACGTAAACCGGAGTAGAAGCAAGAGCAGGTGTAGAAACTGTGAGATCTTGTGGTTGGGCAGCAACGTCTTTGATCGCAGACTGTAGCTGAGTTAGCTGGGCCCGCTGCTCAGCTTGTTGTTGTGTTACATTGCTGACTGATTGAGTAACACCTGCCAGAATCTGCTGATGATGATGACCTAGGAGCTGACCTTGGTTGCTCAGGACCTTCTGCACAGCCTCTATGTCTGCTGTCTGCATGGTGGTGAAGTATCCTGTTATGGGGACAGATGGAACCAGAGGCTTGCAGCAGGGGCTTGAGTTAGGAACTCAACAAAATCACAGTCGATGAACAGAAGCAGAAATTCAAAAACAGAAAACCAAAACAGAGCTAAGGGATAAGACTAGAATCAAGGTCGTAAACAGAAAACAGGGTCATACACAAAAATAGGAGTAAGTAATACAGTGGAAACACTCAGTATGCACACGAGAGCAACAATACTTAGCAAACAAGAGTTCCAAACAGACTGGTATATATCCAGGGTGTAACAGGTGTGTGTGATTCCAGAGAAGTCCAGAGAAGCAGAGCGGTGATAGGTTGAGAGTCCTGAGTAGCGAGGCATTCTGGGAAACGTAGTCAAGAGTGGCAGTATTGGCTGCAGTCTCAGCCATGTCAGAAGGAGGTGTAACATCATTCCAGTTAAGAACTATATCTTTTTGTAGAAAACCAAACTAAATTATACTTTTGGGGCAGAAATGGGAGACTGAAGGGGGCTTTAAAATGGACATTTTCATTTCAAAAGAAAAAAAGTGTTTTTCTCTCAAAACCAAATGTATTGCTCTCTGCACAACAACCCCAGTTTTCATGTATTTAAAAATAATTAAACAAACAAATGTTCATGTACAATGTAAAACACTGATCACAATTATTTAAAGATGAAAAGTTGGTCAACTGACCCCATTTTCCAGGGGAATAAAAAAAGTGATGAAATTGGTTCTAATAAATTGTCTGTCACGCTTCCTGGTCCTCAGTCGAACACTCGTTCCATCAAGGACTCCACTTCCCAGAATCCTTCTGTCAGTCACAAGACTCTTCCAGCCAATCACAAACCACCCAGCAGATCACTGTCACCTGAATACTAATCCTCATCACCTGTTTTGCTCTGTATATATACCTGTCTGTTTGAACTGTATCTTTGCGAAGGGTACCACTTTAAAATAAGACTACCTTTATAAAGGGTTTATAAATGGTTTAAAAATGGGTTTATTAATGGTTATTCATTAGGTTATAAACACCTTAAAAACCATTAGTAAGCAGTTATAAGACATAAGTAGAAAGGGCAACAGTGGCCTGTTGTTTGCCAAATAGTGAGCCCACATCCATTTTTACTGTTAAACTTCAGATCTTGTCGGATTCTAATCTTACTTTGTCTTCTCCATCAGTCAGCATTTGACCTGTCAGCTTCATCACATATTTGTTGATAAGTTTAACCATTTAAACACCAATCGATATTAATAATGATGAGACAAACATTAACACCTGAAATGACTAAATTCATATTCATAAGGCACTATTCTGTAACTTGACATTTTCAGCATACTATCTGACATCTTCCTCATGATTGTCATAAGTATTGATATAATGCTGCCAGATGCTAATGTACACCAGGCGTGAATGCCCTATTGTGATCACTGGGGTTGAGTGGCATCTTCTTTAGAACAGCATTCCAGGTGTAACATTCTGTGACCTGTTTAAAAGATCCCAAGTTATTACTTACTCTGCTCCAAGACCATCCTGTAGTTTCCAATGTTGCAGTTGTTGATTCACAGATTTCAGGCTTTCGTGTTTGGTTTGATGTTTCTTTGCATCTCAAATGGTCTATGACCATTTGTTAATGAGTTATTAACACTTATAACATCCAAAAGGGAGCCTTATTTTAAAGCGTAAAACACTTCACCGTTTGTTAATCAGTTACTAACACTTATAACCTCCAAAAGGGAGCCTTATTTTAAAGTGTGAAACACTTCACCGTTTGTTAATCAGTTACTAACACTTATAACCTCCAAAAGGGAGCCTTATTTTAAAGTGTGAAACACTTCACCGTTTGTTAATCAGTTACTAACACTTATAACCACCAAAAGGGAGCCTTATTTTAAAGTGTGAAACACTTCAGTTTGTTAATCAGTTACTAACACTTATAACCTCCAAAAGGGAGCCTTATTTTAAAGTGTGAAACACTTCACCGTTTGTTAATCAGTTACTAACACTTATAACCGCCAAAAGGGAGCCTTAAAGTGTGAAACACTTCACCGTTTGTTAATCAGTTACTAACACTTATAACCGCCAAAAGGGAGCCTTATTTTAAAGCGTAAAACACTTCACCGTTTATTAATCAGTTACTAACACTTATAACCGCCAAAAGGGAGCCTTATGTGAAAGCGTAAAACACTTCACCGTTTATTAATCAGTTATTAACACTTATAACCTCCAAAAGGGAGCCTTATGTTAAAGTGTAAAATACTTCACAGTTTGTTAATCAGTTACTAACACTTATAACCGCCAAAAGGGAGCCTTATTTTAAAGCGTAAAACACTTCACCGTTTGTTAATCAGTTACTAACACTTATAACCACCAAAAGGGAGCCTTATTTTAAAGCGTAAAACACTTCACCATTTATTAATCAGTTATTAACACTCATTTAGTATGTGTTTACATTTATGCAATAAAAACCTTCACAATGTCATGACAACAGAAATGAGAAAAATAGTTTTATTTGCACAACAAAATACAAAGTTCAAAGGAGACTGACATTTAAACTGTCAACTAAATGTGAATAGACCTATATTATGGTAATTTACTCTTTAAATAAAAATGTCTTTGAAATAAACAAAATGTTACTCACCACATTCCTTATATCAGATTTTAAATTAAATCCGTCTAAATGTTTACCAAGTCTCTACCTAAAAAAACAAACAGTTTTCAGTAAAAACCTAAACAAACCAAAAACAAACCTCACATACTGCTGCATTTTAAATTTTGGTTTTCACTTTAACTTAAAACAACATGCCACCTAAACTTTTAACACAACCAAGTGCAAACAGCCATTAAACAGGTTTGCTTCTCCTAATGGGGAGAAGTGTACACCCAGCCTTCATGCTTTCTATTTTCTCTTTCACATCTTCATCTCCTTGAATAGCAGCCTCACACCGCTTAGCAAAGGCCAGCACTGTCTCTCCACCAGGCTTCTTGGCCAGTACCTCTTCATATACCTCAGGAGCAGCAATAGCGAGCTCTCCAATCGCTGAAGTGGACACCACAGTGTTCCTGTCAATGGCATGCTTCTGGAAGGCCCTGGTCATGGTCTTTGCTTTTGGTAATGTTTTAAGGATGGATTTGTAGCGGCATACAATTTCACTTGGTGTTTGTACTAGACAGGAAAAAACAGAGACATGTTGTAAAAAGGTTTCACTGCAGAGAAAATCGTAGTAGTCAATCGTGCTTCAACTAAAGTTGGGCAATATGATTAGTTATTAACAGACAAACAGGTGTCAAGTTACATTCAGCAAAACACAACTAATTTTGCCCTCTTTGCAGCTGAGAAATGTTTTTAAGTATTAACAATGTCCACAATATGCCCAGAAAAGCTTATTGTGACATACTGTGACATACAATGAGAATTTAAAACTTTCAGTATCCTATTCTATATTCCAGTCATTCTTTCAACTTTTTAGTTTTTGGTCATGTAATTATGATCACATTAAAGTTGCCAACCCCACAGTTAAATCAAAACTCCTGCGTATGGTATGCTTATGGGCCATTTACTTCATATACATGCCTATGCCTGGTCCGACCTATCAGCAGTATGTCCACGGTCAATGAAAGGAACACTTTCTAAAATCTCAGTGCATTAATACTAAATTCAATTGAAGTACACACTCTTAAGTGCAAGTATACAACTATTTTACATATTCCAAGCTATCAGATTTCAGAGCCGTAACAGCCCATTTTATAAATGATATTTTGATGAATTGAATCCTTAATTTTAAGCCTGCAAGTTCAAAGTAAATCGCCAACCAATTACAGTCGGTTATCAGTTATAAGAATTTGCCAAATTAAGCAAGATCCAAAATTTCATGGTTACTATTTCTGGGGCAGCTAGCATAGCTAACTACCATCTATGACTCTATACCTTAGAAGGCTAATAGCAACAGGCTGAATTCTGAAATCAAGACCTAACTCTAAACCTAAAGAAGAATGTTTTTGCATGACCTATACATGCTGCCAGTGCATAAACACCTCTGTAACAATTATTTGCGGCTTACCACGCTGTCGAAACTTCTTGTGCTCTTTCTTGTGTTTCTTAGCACCCTTGCTGTGCTTCTTTTTGGATTTGTGCTTGCGCTTCTTGGGGGTTGAAGATGAGGATGAGGATCAAGAAGATGAGGATGATGTATCAGAGCTTTCAGAATCATTCACATTGACTGGAGTGTCCATGGTTTCTTCCTTTGTTTTAACTGAAAAGTACAAAAAAAAAACAAACACATTAACACATTACCTATTATTATAGGAAGAATATGCCTGTAAGTGACTTGTTACAGTTGGAGAAGTTTAAAAACATTTATAACAATTCATCGAATACAGCTCTGATTACTTCCTGTAGTGATTCGGTCTCTGATCTAAGTGCTAGATTAAAGAAAACTCTTGACATTCTCGCTCCAGTCGAATGGAAGAAAACTTGCATACTCATAAAAATCCATGGATGAATAAGGAAATACACCAGCTCAAGAGAAACTGTTGTAAATCAGAGCGCTTATGGAGGAAAACTAAACTGCAGGTACATTATTCTCAAAGAGCAGATCTCCACCTACAATACTGCCATGAAAATATCCAGATAGTCATATTTCCCTAGTGTAATTAATAAACATATAGATAATACCAACATGCTTTTTTCTACCACAGACCAACTAATTAACCCTAACTTGTCTGCTAGTGTGTCTTATGGTGATTTATCTTCTAAAAGTTGTGAAGTTTGCAATTCATTTTCATAGTAAAATGAATCAACAGAATTCCTTCCATAAAATACAGAAAACGTGGAGAGACTCTTTCTGTTATTCTGCTTCTAAACTGTGGAGCTCAGTTCACATTTTATTAGACAGTCAAGCTCAGTGCTCACTTTTAATAAACATTTGAAAAAGCATCTCTTCAGTGTTTAATTAAAATTCTAAGTCTATTTGAATTCTTTTAATTTGATTTGTGTCACTGTCTTGTGTAATGCTATATAATTTTAAATTAATACTTAGAATTTCTTGTATTATTGTTAAACATTATCACCTGTCTGCAAAGTACTTTAAGTTACCACTGGCATGAAAAGATTCAACTCTACAGATTATTATTACTATTATTATTATTATTATTATATACACATACTGCAAATACTTTAATTCATAGAAGTGGTCCATATACTTAAAAGTGAGGCTAGGTTATTTTCTATTGCCCAGTACTTATCATATAATGCTTATAACTCTTTTGTTGATGTACCTGTGAGGGCAGACAACTGTCCACGGAGAAAATCTCTCTCTTCTTCCAGTTCTTCAATCTTCTTCTTCTGCCATTCCAACTTCTCCTTTAGAAAGGTCAGTTCTTGTTTCTCCTTGTTAAGAAGTACTGTTGCAGTAGGGGCTAGATCAGAGGCTGAACCTAAGAAAACAGACATTATAAAAATTAGAATGGTAGAACATTTGCTTAAGTCAAACTCTACATTGTAATTTTTGCTCTTGCCATCTGACCGCAATAGACTGGCTGACTGGTAAAAAATCTCAAAGCCAAAAAAAAAAATGCTCAGACTCAATTGATTTTCAGGATAAATGTAAAAAATATAATCACTAGCCATTGTAAATACAACACTGACAGCTCCAATTTACAGATTTCATGTCATATTCACTAGCCACATTCACGTCTTTCATGTAGCTGATCTCTGTTGGTGACATTTCTGCCAGTCAGCCATAAAGGCTCACATCCACAAAAAGGTTAACAAGTATAAATACTGGGACCAGACTGTGCTAGTCAGTTAGCAGTTACAGTCTGGAAAAACACATATTTATAACTTGTTAGATAGTGAGACTTAAAATATTCTAATTGGTCTAACTCAAGGCCATAACAATGTAATTTATTGCCTGTAAATTATGGTGGGCACGTCCTTCTTATGGTAGAGTTTGGATTTTGTGTTTCAATGTGTTGCAGAATTCAATTTCAAAATAAGCTGATTCTTTGCGGAATATTACAGGTGTCTGCACAAATTATGAAACAGGGGGTGGAAATGTTGAGTTGTTGTAAGGTAACCACCCCAATGTACAGGATAATTACCAAGTGGCTCTATATCTTTACTAAAGCTCAGGACATATCCTTCTTTCCAACCTGATTCTATTCTACAGTGTCTGACAGGTGTCAACACCAAGGCTCAATCAGTTTTTAGTTTTTAGAAATTATTAGTTTTGGCCATTTAACTCACCACAATGTATATTGTATTTATAAATACATGCATATATAACAGACTATATCTTCAAGTCACATGATTTGTTCTTCATTCTAACTTGAATCTATTGTACAATATCAAAGTGTCAACACTAGGTTTGACTCAGATCTGTACTGTACATTTTGAGCTTTAGAAAAGTAAACTGACATTATTAATGCATGCCAATACATTTGTCCCCATATCTTTCTACAACCTCAAAATAGATACCCCATTCCAAGCTTTTTTTTTGGCCATTTGAGGCACTCATACTTTATGAAAACATGCACACAACTTTGTAGTTCTACAGTTACAGACGGTAGTCCCTCTGTCTCTCTGCATACTTTCTTACCCTGTTCTTCAGTGGTCAGGACCCCCATGGACCCTCACAGAGCAGGTATTATCAGCAGTGCAGTGAAACTGACGTTGTGGTGGTGTGTTAGTGTGTGTTGCCCTGTTACGAGTGGATCAGACACAGCAGCACACAATGTACAAGCCTATATAGCGAGCTGCTTGAAATTAAATTAGTCCTCTAGTTTTCCCAGTTCTCTTTCCCAACATGATGATTAAAAAATAACACTTTCTTTTGGTTTTCAGCTGAATATTTCCTGAATTATGATTTCAGTAGTAAAATTTTCACTACTTACAGATATACTGGATACCTGGTTACCTTACCACAACTCAACATTTTCACCATGGATCTGTTTAGAAATTGGTGTAACATCTAGCAAAGTGTCAATTTTCTTTAAAAATTAAATTCTGCAACACATTTAAACACAAATCCAAACTCTGCCATATTAACTGTTTCAAAGCTTATGTGAACACTTTTTAGGTTAAACAGAAACATATACACCTTAAAACTGAAGCATACTGTTATTTTTGTAATTATTATTATTGCTATTATCATTATTATTATTAAAATAGTTCACTACAAAAACGTAGGCTAGAAGTTGCGGTCAGGAAGCACAACGCGGTTGCAAAGCACTACCGTTATATTCCTAATATTTCAACACGTGATTTTGGTGCAAAAAACAACCTAAACATATCTACAAAACCGAACTATGGACGAATACGTTCTCTTATTTACCTCTGTGGAAAGCTATTTCACTTCAGTGGCACTGGAATATAACAACATATGCAGGAAAACCGTTAAGCGAGTTAGCTAACGTTAGCTAACCAGCGGTTAGCTAGCTTAGCAACCTCTGTGGCGAACTAGCTAGCTACCTACTACCCAGCCAAGTAAGGTCTGGTAACGTTAGACAGCTACCAAATAGTTTAATTAGCTGATGGACAGATAATAAAATAACATGAAAAACTTACTTTCTCGTTCATCTGTTGAGACTTGGCGCATCTGCTGACGCCTTGGGACCCTCTTAGGACGAGTACTGGCAGCAGAGGTCGCAGAGGAACACGATTCTTTTCCATCTAGATTGTCCATGATTCTTAAAAAAAGACGTCTACGGCCAAGCCCGGGTGAGGCGGTAGCGCGCGTCATCAACAAGCTTGCCTGTGATTGGATGTTTCCATATCATCGTCTGTGGTTGGATCTTTACTTTCTAGCGCCAAAATCGTGGTTGGATTGTATTTTCTTCACCTAAATCGACTGGAAGCAGACGGCACCATATACTCTGCGCTAGGAGACATCCACAACAGGTAAGCTTTGCAAATTGCAAACCTGAATGACCTTTTTAAACAGCAGAATAGATGCAATGAGATAAATAAAGTAAAGGGTGACATGAGCCGATTTATTGCTATGATTCTGATATGCACCTTCAATTCAGCAATACTGTTCTATATAAATGCTATAATACCCATATTTTTAAACTAGTTATTCCCCCTCGTGGACACATTTAATTATTTTGGATTCTGGATTCTATTACTTATTACTTATTGTACTTTAGTGTGCAGTCTTTCTAGTGTGAATAGTTTTACCATATAAAGTGAAAAATTAAATTATGCCAAAAAGCTGAAAAGCTTGTATCATAAAGGTATTTCAGACATGTATTTGTTAATTGTCAGTGTGTACTCCCTCAGCAGAATGTCTCTGGAAACAAAGTTGCGGGCCCGGATTGAAGGAAAACAAACAAAAAGCAAGACACTGAAGTTAATTAAGTGGTTGCAGAAGAAACACCTTCTAAAGGAGAAGATCAGATGCACTCTTTGCCACCACAAAATGAAAATGGTATCTGTGACGAAGAAGGACCAGTACATCTGGTAGGTGAAATGGCCTGCTAATTTCCACTGAACAGAACATCACACTTATACTAAAATTATCATAAACATTATCCTTTTTCTTCTCATTATTATTTTATTATTACTATTACTATTATTATTATTACTAATAAATAAATTACTAAATCTACAGGCATGTTTAGTTGCTGCTAAATCATTAATAGTAACGCAGTGTGAAGTGTGTGCAATATATCACAACATGATGTAATGTAGAAAAACACAATGATACATGTTTGGCATGTTTACAGGTGCTGTAAAAGAGCAGGTCATGGAAGAGTCCTGTTTGAAAAGTCTAAATCATCTCTCTTCAGTTGGATGAAGTATATTTACAGGTGCTACACTGTATTTTTGTAAAATGAAAAATAGCAATATAAGACTGTCTTTTATAAATGCATTATAAACACATACTTTTAAGGTACGCACATGGCTACAGAAGCCTTATCAGTATGTATTACATTATTTCTTTCTACTACAGATTTTCACAAGGACTCAGGCTCAGACAGATTGATATGATCAGTGATGATATTGCTGGCAGCTCCACAACACTGACAAAAATGGCAAGGTGCATTCGGGAGGTTTGTATTTGTGCAATGGACAGACACAGAAGGAAGAGCAGGCAGTGTCTTGGTGGTCGAAAAGAGTTTGTTGTGATAGACGAGAGCTGCTTCCGTCATCAGCGAAAGGTTTGTACACCTTTTCAGTTTGTTTAAAAAGTGAGCTTCTTAAAGACACTGCTATTGGGTAGCCCACACATACACATACTAGGCCTGTCACGAACATGAAATTTTATCTAACAATTAATTGCTATGTAGTTAATTGTGATTTTTTTTATCATTGTATGCGACAAATCAAAGCCTAAGGTGGCCTCACCGCCTCCCTCTAAAGGCGTTATTAACAAACATCATCTGTCATCTTTGGTGTTGTATATGTAAACTACAAGAGGGGAAACAAATATTCACACTTTTTTTCCCTATAAATTTAAACACCTCTTTGTTCATATTTCTAAGTAAAAAGACATTAATCGTGTAAATTTGCAGCGAGTACATGTAGTGAAAATATACTAATAACAAAAGCATTTCATTTAGTATTTGTGTTCCAGAGAAGACATGGTATGATCCTCTTGGCGATTCCTGTTCAATGTATAAGAGAAAATGTATTTTATGGGAATTATTTATGACTTTATATATTTTTTTAAATCTCTATTTTTTAGATTTATTTCTCATATAAGAGAAAAACATAGCTTTACAAAACTTCTGGAGACATCATTAATGGCCTTTTCTGTATAATTATGCATAAATGAAGTTACACTATGTACCTAATTGCCTTCCTCCCAATGACTGCTGGGATTGGCTCCAGCTCCCCCCATGACCCAGAAGGATAAGCGGCTTAGAAAATGTGTGTGTATGTACCTAATTACTAATACTAAATGTGACAGTTTGAAACAAGATGTGCAACAATACTTTCTGTAGTTGGTGTTCATTATATTGAAATTTTAAAATGTAGTGTTCTTTGTGTTTTTTTTTTTATTTATTATTTTTTTTATTTTAGTATGCGCGAGGACGATTTGGAAATACCTGGAGAAGGAAGAAATGGGTCTTCGGAATGATGGGAGTTAAAGACAAAAGACGGAGACCAGTGTTGAAACTAGTGGAGAAACGATCAAGACGCCACCTTGTCCCTCTGATCAGAGACCATGTTAAGGCAGGAAGTAGCATAATCAGTGATAAGTGGAGGGCATACAGGGTTGTTCTGAGGAACTTGGGGTACAAACACTATACCGTAAACCACAGCAGGTGGTTTGTGGATCCCCGGTCTGGAAGCCACACACAACATATTGAAAGAGCTTGGGGGACCATCAAAGGACATATCCGTAGACTGAGAGGAAATCGGACAGAGACTTTGTTGAAGGAGCACCTCATGGTTCTTGAATGGTCATCCTGGCTTGGCTCTCGTCACCCTGATGGGCCACTTGGACGCTTGTTCAAGGATGTACAGAAAGCCTTTCCAGTCTGAATTTCAAGATTTATTTTCCAGTGCTCTAATTATCATTCAGTAAAGACTGCTTTGATGTCTGAATTTGGAAATTAACTGTGCTTAACTGTTTCATTATTATGAAAAGTGTTTCAGCATGTATGAATGAAAATGTTTGCTTGTTTCTGTTGTATCTTTCTTCATACTTCATGTGACAAAATTAGATTAGCTAAGGGTAAATGTTTGTAACACATGAATAAACAGTGAAGTTTTGCACTTTACAGTAAGGCTCCCTTTTGGTGGTTATAAGTGTTAGTAACTGATTAACAAATGGTGAAGTGTTTTACACTTTAAAATAAGGCTCCCTTTTGGTGGTTATAAGTGTTAGTAACTGATTAATAAATGGTGAAGTGTTTTACACTTTAAAATAAGGCTCCCTTTTGGTGGTTATAAGTGTTAGTAACTGATTAACAAATGGTGAAGTGTTTTACGCTTTTAAATAAGGCTCCCTTTTGGAGGTTATAAGTGTTAGTAACTGATTAACAAATGGTGAAGTGTTTTACGCTTTAAAATAAGGCTCCCTTTTGGTGGTTATAAGTGTTAGTAACTCATTAACAAATGTTGAAGTGTTTTATGCTTTAAAATAAGGCTCCCTTTTGGAGGTTATAAGTGTTAGTAACTGATTAACAAACGGTGAAGTGTTTTACGCTTTAAAATAAGGCTCCCTTTTGGATGTTATAAGTGTTAATAACTCATTAACAAATGGTCATAGACCATTTGAGATGCAAAGAAACATCAAACCAAACACGAAAGCCTGAAATCTGTGAATCAACAACTGCAACATTGGAAACTACAGGATGGTCTTGGAGCAGAGTAAGTAATAACTTAGGATCTTTTAAACAGGTCACAGAATGTTACACCTGGAATGCTGTTCTAAAGAAGATGCCACTCAACCCCAGTGATCACAATAGGGCATTCACGCCTGGTGTACATTAGCATCTGGCAGCATTATATCAATACTTATGACAATCATGAGGAAGATGTCAGATAGTATGCTGAAAATGTCAAGTTACAGAATAGTGCCTTATGAATATGAATTTAGTCATTTCAGGTGTTAATGTATGTCTCATCATTATTAATATCGATTGGTGTTTAAATGGTTAAACTTATCAACAAATATGTGATGAAGCTGACAGGTCAAATGCTGACTGATGGAGAAGACAAAGTAAGATTAGAATCCGACAAGATCTGAAGTTTAACAGTAAAAATGGATGTGGGCTCACTATTTGGCAAACAACAGGCCACTGTTGCCCTTTCTACTTATGTCTTATAACTGCTTACTAATGGGTTTTAAGGTGTTTACAACCTAATGAATAACCATTAATAAACCCATTTTTAAACCATTTATAAACCCTTTATAAAGGTAGTCTTATTTTAAAGTGGTACCTTGCGAAGTATTGCCATTGTTCCGTCAGTGCATACCAAGCTGTTTATATTCCTGATTGCTGTTCTGTGTTTTGACCTTGCTTTGTTTTCTCCGGTTTCTGATTCTCGCTCCTGTTTTTGGCTTTGTTGTTTTGTGTATGATTCTTCTACGGTTACGACCCTCACCTGTTTTTTTGACTCCGTTTTCACCTACTCCTATGTGTTGTATCTGGCTCTTCTGGTTTTTGACCTGGTCTGGTGTTAACCCTGTTTATATCCTTTTAAATAAATCTTCTGGGTTCGTTTTTATCCGCATGTGTCTGATTTGCAAACCCAGCGTAACATTGTCATTAAATTAAGTCAAATGAATAAAACGCTAGAACCCATAGAAAGAAACTATAGTTAATGACAGCATATAAAAATTACTAAGTTAACTTTCTTTACATTACTATATTAAATAAATTTAATAATAAATAAACATTTTAAACTGTAAACTGGTACATAAATTACACTGAGAACATTGCCAATTGCTTTTGATGTAGTATTTATATCATTGAGACTTTACTAAATCTATATATAAAGCAGTTATCACCTTTCATTTGTGATGTATTCACACTGTTGTGCCATTCTGTTAAAAAAAGGAAACAATAGTTCAGTGACTGAAATATTTTCAGTATTAAAGATTTAGAGAAAAGTTTAAATGCTTATAGCTAGAGAAACATACCACAGTGTGTAGACAACAGATGTGCAGCATTAAAAAAATAATAATAAAAAAGGATGCTGCTGGTTCATGTTTTTCAAGCTGCTTATAATTAACTTAATATTGTGTTCTACAAAACTGCCAAAAAAAATTGACACAGAAAAAAAGTTTTCATATGCTAGATTGTGGCATAAATATATTTTTAAACTGATTTGATGCTTTCTAATGGTTCAATCTGTTAAAGACCTTCTCTTGTTTTTCTTGTTACACAATTACACATTCTTTATATAACTCCTGATATGTTTCATTACTTTAAATTCTCATTAGCTCGACAGTCTTAAAGAACAGTTGTAGGTTTTCATTTTACTTAACGTAAAATAGAGCATTAAACCTTAAAGCCTTACCTGAGGAGAGTTTCAAGCTGAAAAGGCAAGGACTGGAAAGTTTAATAAAGGAATGAAGACACTTCTGGTCCTTTTGTACCCAGGGAACACCCAGTTTTGCTGTGGGCTGGACTGAGAGAAGTGAAAGTAAACTCTGCTCTTATAAAAGTGAGCTTGTTTCTTCCTCCCTACTGACTGCTCTGAATCCTGACAGGAACGTTTATCTGCTGTTGAAGAAATGGCAGATCCTATAGTTTATATCGCTATAGATTTTGGCACAGCGTTTACTGGTTACTGCTTCAAGTTTATAGAATCAAAACAGGTTCGTCAGCCTAAATGGGGTGAAGAGTACGGTCTGAACACTCCAAAGACACCTACCTGCATTTTGTTTGACGAAGATGAAAATTTTCTAAAGTTTGGCTATGACGCAGTCATGACGTACACCAGACAGATTCGGAAAAATGAAGCAAAGAAGCTTCTCCTCTTCGACAACTTCAAAATGGAGCTTTTTGGCAAGGTAGGATTTATTTAGGTACATATTTGTTACTGTTTCATATTTATAACTAAATGAACAGATGGTGAGCCAGAGTTTCTGTATTTATTTCTCAGGAATTACACAGAGACTTTATGATGACTGCCAAAAACGGGAAAAAAATGAGAGCTATGAAAGTGTTCTCTGAGAGCCTGAAATTCATGAAAGATCACGCCCTAGATATGATTCAAAGGCACACAGCTGGAGTAAAGTACTCTGCCTCTGAAGCTACGTGGGTTTTGACAGTTCCAGCCATTTGGAGTGCAGCAGCTAAACAGTTTATGAGAGAAGTAGCTACAGAGGTGAGTGTGATGATATAATGTAACACTTTATATAAAACTACTGTGATTTTGGTTCTTGTACCCAGCATTACCCCAGATAATGAAGAATAATGTGTGAAATGTTTATGTTTAGGCTGGTCTGGTGTCCGAATCTGAGCCTGAAAGACTGATCATAGCTCTGGAACCAGAAGCTGCATCTGTGTGGTGTAAACAGCTCCCAAAAGAAGGTTTTATGGAAGGAGATCCTACAGAAGCAGAGATGATAGAACAAGTTCCAGGAACACAGTACATGGTGGTGGACTGTGGAGGTAGATACCAAACTGTTTCATGTTTTCTTTATTTTTTACCACATAACAAACCTGCTAACATCCGCCCAATGAGAGCTGGGATTGGCTCCAGCACCCCACCGCGACCCAGAAGGATGAGCAGTTTAGATAATGTGTGTGTGTGTGTGTGTGTGTGTGTGTGTGTGTGTGTGTGTGGGTGTGTTCTGCTAACAAATGCACCCTTTCTTAATTACTCTTCCCAAGTTAGAAAAAATGTAAAGAATGCTGCTACAGTAAGTTATTCATTTAACCTAATTCATTTAACTGTAGAGTGACTCAGTTCATATTACAATGCCTACGTTTAGATTCATTGGGAAAACCTTTTGTATGAACGTGAAAAGGTGCATTTTTTGTGTAACTGAGATAACATTAGTATCTTAGCTAATGTTGGGCTGGTAGGCTGGTGTAGCTGCAAGTTTTTATTTCAGCAAAGCAGGAGAACACCTGATCAGTTATTAGAGGACTAAAATTAATTAATTATACAAGTGGAATCAGGTGTGTTTGGAATAAAAATGTGCAGCTACACTAGCCTTTTGTGGATAAGACTGGACATCCCTAATCTAAATGAACTAAAGCGTTCTTCAGTGATATGCAAAACAATGTCTTATGGGAGTGATTTTACCAATGGAGAAATCTGTCTCTCTTATGGTAAGTACTGAAGGTTGAATTGTGCCCAATGTCAGTGTTATTACTATGAGTTGGTTTCTCTTGCTTTTGGTAGATTTTTACTCTTTATTCTTCCCCTTTTAGGTGGAACCATTGACATCACAGTGCATGAGGTGGTGGAGGGGGGTCGCTTAAATGAGCTGCACGGGGTATCAGGAAATAACATGGGGGGACAGACAGTGGACAAGAACTTCAAATCATTGATCAGAGAGATATTCTCTGAAAAAGTGTTTGATGAATTTGTGGAAAACCATCCCAGTGAGCTGCAGCGGTTGATGTATGATTTTTCTATCTGTAAACGTTATGATGGAGACGTGTTGGTGCAGTGTCCATTTAGTTTACAACAGATAGCCAGCAAAGAAGATGACATAGAAGCCTACTTTAGTGGAGACAACGATATTGACTGGGAAAGTGGACAAATACTTCTGTCAGGGGCAAAGCTAAGAGCTCTACATGAGGATAGTATCAGGGGCATAGAAAACCTGATGAAAGAAATATTGAAAAACCCCACACTGAACATCCAATACATCTTCTTAGTTGGAGGCTTTGCCCTGAGTCCTTACGTGAACAGTTTTGTCAAAGAGAAGTTTGGGTTGAAGTGTAAGGTGCTCTGCCCTGTAGATGCTCAGATGGCCGTTGTGAATGGAGCTGTTATGTTTGGCATGATGCCAAATGTGGTGGAATCACGGATCAGTGTTTTCACTTACGGGATCGCAGTTGTGCACTTGTTTGATGAGTCCAAACACAAGGGCAAGAGCAAATATGTCAGTAAGGATGGAGTTCAGTTCTGTGATGTTTGCTTTCACTGCCTAGTGAACAAGAACGAGTCAATTCCTTTTGATGAAGCTGAAAAGTACATATTTAATCCACTTGAAAAGGACCAAAAAGAAATGCATTTCAGTTTTTATTGCACTGAGAAGGAAACTGCTGAGTTTGTAGATGAGAAGGGAGTGATGAAGATTGGATCTTTAGCAGTGTCAATGCCAAAGATTTCAAAGGGCACAAATCGTTCTGTAGTCCTTGAAATCAAGTTTGGTTTCACTGAGATGCAGGCAACCGCCACAGACGTTGATTCTGGTGAGACCACTTCAGTCAAAATGGACTTCATGTCCAAGTAATTAATTTGATTTGTTTGAGAAAAAGCATTTATTTACATTTGTGTACTAATAATGCATAGAAATTTAGTTCTAGAAATTACATTATGCAATAATTGTGTAAAATATGATTTTATAACAGAACAATTGATTATAAAAAAATAAACTGGTTAAGGGATTCCTAATTAGTTAAACATTCTTAAAGCAGAAAATATCTATATGCTTGTACTGATAGGCACTGTTTGTTTATTCGTATAAATATTTGTATTATAATGTCTTTGTTGAAACTGAAAGAGATTCAAGGATCAAACAGGGAAGTGAAACTAATGTATTACAAATAATATGTGTGAGATCCTGTGTTTCTGATAATGCATGAAAAATAAACATGAAGACATTCTTTTGTGCTTAATTATACATGTTTTTTTTTATTTCTTTGGTGGTGATAAATTGTTTCTTCTCTTAAGATAACAGCATGTTCAAGAATTCAACATTTCATTTTCTTAAGATCAGACATCATGTTTCATATGACTAAATTAATCTAAAATTTAAAGAATGTTTTGCAAATTAAATTTGTGATTTTGGCCCTGAACCAGCTTCAAGAGGAGCCTTTCGAAAACCTTAGAAAATGCTTCCATATGCTGAGATGCTGAGAGTTTTTGAGGGGACATCACTTCCCGGCCTGATAACTATTTTGATAGCCCAGATAACCTGCCACATTCTGCAATACATTTACATAGCAATTCATATTTACAAGGGCTAGTACATAATGTTACAACCCATTCCAGAGAAGACTAAAATAGGTATAAGTAAATTAAGTCTCACTGACAAGGCTTGTGTGTGGTCTAATACTGAGGATTAAAGAGACATCCAACTGTCAGAGAAGTTCATAGTTCTTCTTAAAGACCACTTTATTTTCCCTACTCACTGCCCAGGTAAACTTGGTGATATTGACAGTACTAATGTTAAATATACAGTTAGATATATAGTAAATAACAAGAGATGAAAAGTGAAACAACATATCCAAAATTCAGTGCATTACAAAAAAAAACACATTTCAAAATACATCACATTCCTCTTCCCTTAAATGTAATTATCTTCCCTCTTCCCTTAATTATCTTAAATTCTCATTACTTCACATATATTAGTTCACATGGTTTTCAATGTCCTAGCATGGCTATAATAAACATTATCTGTTTGTTAATATAACAGACTACAGGCTACAGTATTCCACTCATTCTCTGACTTAACCTGCAACATGGGCCAGAATAATCCCTGTGGTTAAGTGCTAACTAATATCTCTATAAGGAAAGTGAACACCATTCTCTGGCATGGTAACACTATTCCATACTAGGTGCTGTCACTGGCAGAGGAACAGCAATATCTTGTGTTGGCTTTCTGTCAGAATTGGCCTGATGTACAAGACTGGCTTCAACTCATTCTCCTCCCCCTGGAGTAGTTCCACTTTCAAACTATTACCAGATGCATCAGTCTGTATAATAAAAGGTTGGCTAAAATCAGGGCTGGACAAAACTGGGTCTGGGCACAAACAGTTCCTCAAGTCATTAAAAGTGGTAAGACACTCAAGTCCATTTGATTTTCTGAGGTTTGTCCTTGTTGTTGTAAGGTCAGTAAGATGTGAAGTGCACTCAGAAAAGTTATGTATAAAATGCCTTTACTGCCCCACTAAACCTAAAAATGACCTTACATGTCTCTTAGTGGTTGGTATTGGGCAGGTCCGATGTTACCGCCTCCTAGAACGTAACCCAGGTAAGCTACAGAGTCCTTGGCCAAGTGACATTTCGTCGGGTTAGCTGTCAGTCCAGCGTCACTTATCTGCCTCAGTATTGTCGACATATGCTTCAGGTGGTCCTGCCATGTCTCATTGTAGATGGCCACATCGTCCAGAGAAGCTGCCACAAAGTCCTCAGTTCCTTTCAGCACATCATCCAGCAGATGTTGGAATGTCACTGCTGTTCTGTGCAGGCCAAATGGCATGACAGAAAAATGGAATAATGCATTTGGTGCTCGATTCGCCATGAGTTCCTTTGCCTCAGGACTCAGTGGAACCTGCCAATATCCTTTGCAGAGGTCCAATATGAAAAGGAATCTCGCTTTACCCAGTCTCTCAATAAGTTCATCTGCCCTTGGCATTGGGTACAGATTGAACGCAGATACTATGTTGAGTCGTGAAAAGTCAATGTAAAACCGTAGGTTCAGGCTTCCTAAAGTTTGGGATAAGTCAGGCAGGAATGGGGCAATTCATCTGTCTGATTGGTTCGTCCTTCAATAGATGGATATTGTGCTCTATTGCCGATATTCTGTCTGGCTCCTCGCTGAAAAGCTTGTCTGGGATGATGGTATCGAATTCTTCTCGCTGTCACTGTTGCAGATGGTTCAGATATAGCAGTTTGCTTGTGGAGCGGAAATATTGCTCCATGCACTTCTCCTCTTCTGCCACTAGCACGTACCCATAAGTTCTCTCCTGTGTCAGGCTCTCTCTCTATCTTTCTGCATATCTGATGAAGCATGTTTATATGAAAAGTCTGTTTGGGCTTTTTGCAGTCTGGGCGTGAGAGCTCATATGTGGTTTGATTCACCTCGTTCAAAACTTCATAGGGACCATGCCACTTCGCCAAGATGCTAGTGTCCGATGTAGGCAGTAAGACCATCACCTTGTCGCCTGGCTTGATTGTTCTCTCTTTCGCTGCATTGTCATACCAGCTCTTCTGATGTTTCTGCACAAGTTCCAGGTTCTTGTGCACCAGTTTCATCCCACTTGCCAGTCACTATCTCATCTGCAGCACATGGGTAAGGATGTTAAGTTTCTGCCCTGTGTTCTGTCCTTCCCAGGCTTCTTTTAGCACATCCAATGGGCCCCATACCTCATGACCATAGAATTTTTGGAAAGGGGGAAACCCTGTGGATGCCTGTGGTACCTCCCAGTATGCAAACAAGAGGTGAGGCAGCCATGTCTCCCAGTCTGACCCTGCCTCATTAACAGAGCTTTCATAACCTGATTAAAACACTCTACCAGTCTGTCTGATGGTACGTGGTGGTTCTACCTTTTATACCCAGTAAATTAAGAACATTATATAGCTGCTTGGAAGTGAAGTGAAATTTCTCTGGGGATACCTACACTAGAAATAAGCTGCACCAAAGCGTTTACTACCTGTCATGTTTTCACCTTTCAGAGGGCAAAAACCTCTGGGTAGTGAGTTGCATAGTCGCATATCATTAAAATATATCAATTGGCAGTTCTGATACAGGATAAGAGGCCTACTATGTCCATAGCAATCCTAGAGAATGGTTCTTCAGCTATGGGCATGTTAATTAAAGGTGCTCTGTCAGACTTCTTAGCTGTGGCCATTAACTGACATTCCAGGCATGTTTGGCAGTAGCTTAAAACCTCAAGATGCTTCCCTGGCCAATAAAATTTGCTAGCTATTCTGCTCAGTGTCTTGGCCTTAAACATAAGGCCCACCCATAGCTTAGTGTGACCCAGCCTTAAAACCGCAAACTCTTTGTCACCACTCATGGCTGTTTGTCCCCTTTTTGTCTGTATAAGATTGTTGAACTTGCTAGCGTTTCCCACTGTGCCTTGTTTGGCCTTATGAAATATGGGTGTTAGTGTTACATCTTCCTTTTGCAACTGAGAGATGTCTGATACTGGTAAATCTAAATTAGCATCAGGGGGTAGTGAGCTGCTCCTTTACTTCAGTGCCTTGTAATTTTGCTTGTCTTTTCTCTCTTTTATTTTCCTTTATTTTAGCAATTTCAGTGAAGGACAGCTCTTTTAAAGCATCTATTTTATTCTGTTCAGCCCTGTTTGCACCCAGCCTAGTGGTAACCATTATCTCTGTGTCCGACAGGTTTGCCCCACTCAGTGAGACCCCTTGAGATGCCTGTTGAAAGAGCTCTGGTGATAAATGATTCTTTTTTTTGGCATGTAAAAATAGTTTCTCCCTTAGGAGCGCTAGAAGCAGTTAACTGTATACTGGGAGCCAGGGCACTGGACATCAAAGGGAACCTGAAGCTAGGTAGCCATAGATCTTTGAGGATAGTCATGTAGGTACTAATGACATTCATACCCAGCAATCAGAAATAACTAAAAATAACATTAAAGAGGTGCGTAAATTAGTCCAGATGATGTCTGATGCCATAATATGCTCTGGCCCCATCCCAGTTCAACATTGCACCAAAATCTACAGCAGGTTACAGTTGCTAAACTGCTGGTTGTCCAAATGGTTCTCAGAAAACAATGTTGGATTTGCTTCCTTTAGAGGGCAAGCCTGATCTGAGTCTGGATGGTATCTACCCCTTATGGAAGGGCGCTGCTCTCATTTCATCTTTGGTTTAATACTAGGACTGTTTAACATGAGATCTCTTACATCTAAAGCCATCGTTGTAAATGAAATTATCACCGATTTTGATGCTCGGTGCCTCACAGGAACGTGGATTATACCTGATGAATACTTTTAGTCTAAATTAAAATAATAAGACAGGAAAAGTTGCCTGTGGTACAATGATCATACTCAAGCTTTAAAACAGACTGTCAGACAACTAGAGTGAAAATGGCGCCTGACTAAAGTAGAAGTATTCCAGGTGTCTGGAGGGATTATAGCCTTAGAAGAACACTTACTCCAGCATGCTCAACCTACCTCTCCTCTCTAGGAATAATCCTAGATTATTATTTAGCACAATTTCTAAATTAACTAAAAACCAAACAGTTACTGAACCTCCATGCCATAAGCCAATAGCAGCAATGGTTTTATGAATTTATTTAGTAATAAATAAAAAAAAAAAAATCAGAATGCACAGTTGAACTCTATAAACTTGCTGCCTTATAATGCCAATCTAGGTCTTGAGAATATTGTAACTACTGCAGAGAGGCTGGAATCGTTTACCTTACTTCAACAAAATTAACTTGTTAAAATGATTTCCTCCACTAAACCTACTTGTATGTTAGATCAGATTCCTACAGGTTTACTCAAAGAAATTTTGCCAGAAATAACCAAGCCTCTTCTGTCAATAATAAACCCCTCTCTTAGCCTTGGATACACCCCAAAAACAGTAATTAGTCCTCTGATTAAGAAAGCTAACTTTCATCCCTGCGCACTATCAAATTATAGACTTCGAATCTCCCTTTTATGTCAAAGATCTTGAAAAAAAGTTGTGGCAAAATAATTAAGTTCCTATTTGCATAGAATCATATACATGGAAAATTTCAGTCTGGTTTTAGGCCACATCATAGTACAGAGACTGCACTAGTAAAAATTGTAAAGAATCTTGTATTACTTTCCAACCAAGGAAATGTGTCTTTGCTAGTCCTCCTTGATCTTAGTGCAGCATTATCAAATAGACCACTCTATATTACTAGAT